CGAAACCCATGGTTGTTTTCCTTGCCCTCCATAAATCATATACAGACTCTCGAAGTCGAATAACCTTTGCCGACCCAGGCAGACTCGGCCTTCCTCTAGACCGCTTCTTCGGCGGCATCAACTTTTCAAATGACGTTTTTCACCGTCATACATGTAAGAATTAAAAACTATTTACTGATATGGATACTGTGATAGTTTGTTGTTCGCACATGATTCAAGATGGAACTTTGAAAGCCCTAATTAGTAAGATGGAAGAAGATATCAAAGCGATTCCGCAACTACGAGGAAAATAGCGTATTTTTCATTTATGAAAAATGATCCGGGCGCGCAAGGCATCTCGCTTGAAAATGGGCCTTTAAGCTATAAAACTTAAGACTTCTTAAGAAATGATAAGCGTCGTCACCAAAGCTGTGATTTATCTTTTTTTTTCTCCAATAACAGATCAAGTCCGAATTCTGCTTGTTGGTGCTTTGTATGGGCCCCTAGGCTCTTCCAGTCCGTCAGCGCGTAATCTACTGCAAACGCTCCTCAAGAAGCTTGACGGCAGTACCCCTGGAACGAGGGAGAGTCCATCAACCACTGCAATGGTGAGACATAGAGGGTTCATTATTCAAACAAAGTTTAACTGTGGTTAGCTGAAGATTTATTTTTGTGAACAGAGTCAAGAGGGTCAGAGCTAACAGTGGAAGGAAATTTATTTCATTAAATCAACTCCCTTATAGAGAATACCTAAGGCCCATGGCTTGCGTAAAACCGTGGTTTAGGCTAGACCTCGTTTTCATGGCCGGCCCTGAACGACTTGTTGTGATGTGTTGATTCATTAGTATGGCAGGTGAACTAAGATAATTCAGATAAGGAAGGTCGGTTATCTCTTTGATGCACCAACTGATTCAAATATAGATCAGAGAGTAACAAGGTGGGAGAATGTATCCTAAATTTGTAAAATTTGTAGAGGGGTCCTTCCTAAGTTATTTTCAGGCTTGTCTTAAGCTCAATTATCATAGGTGGAGGTTCAACCTCCTTACAGATGGTAATGAATTTTTACTTGTTGGTTTTGAGTACTGTAGGCGGCGTAATATGGCTTGTTTGGGTCTGAACTGGAGAGGCGTACTTAAACAGGAAAGCCTCCAAGGGTTGGTGCGTTCGGCACGAAACATAAACAACTGCATACAAACTGTTATCGCTTCTTACGTATGATATGGATTTACAATTCACAAAAATTACTTTTCTGATATACCAGGTCGGATTAGAGGCTGTGGCGAACCAAGGTCAGTACCTTCCTTTGTTTTACACATTTTAAGATTTCTTGAAGCTTGATTTCGGCTTTTGCGAAATGCGCACACAACACCGTCAAATAGCTGGCACGACTGGCCGAAACACATAACGTGAACGGCTAGTTTTGCGGTTAAAGTCAATCTCAATTTATTAATCGAGTTGCATATGAAAACAAGACATGAAGCAATCGGTGTCGCACTTTATATCGAGTATGACACCTGTTGGTTTTTGCCTGTGAAGTAAATTGTGGCTTGTCAAGTCCAGCAGCGCGCCTCGTATTGGAATCAACAATTAAGAACGTGGATACCAGCCTATATATCATCAGGGAATTCAGTAAAACCACTGAAATATATTAGTGGGTTTCGATTTCGTTAAAAAAAACCATATTAGAGTGTATCAAAAAAAAAAGTTTGAAAACATACAGAACTGTTGAGATGACAGAACTGGCTTGATGGGACGCGCGACTAGCGCATGGGCCTTTATAGATTATGCTAGCATAATTTTTGGGATAATTTTAACAAACTGGAAAAATTTCTGCCAGGTGGCAATGCTAGCATAATTCGCATATATTGATAATTTAATTTAACATTTAATTTAACATAATTTATATAGTGCTAACTCCACTAATTGACCAAAGCGCTTTACAATTCATAATATTAAAATAATTAAAAAGATCCCACTGGTAATAAAATATGAATAGATTAAAACCTATTTGCAGACTTATTTATAAAAATATCACAGTAAATCCTATTCCAAATTATCAAAAAGTTAAACATATAATTATCGGTTAATTGATAAATATCGGATCATTTTTTATGCTACAATTTGATCAATGTTCATCTCTACTCCGAAGCACTTGATGACGTTATTCGATGTTTTAAGTTTTAGTTCAAGTAGTAACATTTGTAGTTCACTGTGAATCACTGAGCGGCCTCTGAAACGGTCTGAGCCCGGGTTAACATCAACCACATGTTTATTTGAATTTCATTGTGGATTTGTTGCGTTTCTTTCTTGTAGACCAACAACTTCTAATTAAAAAAATGTATTTTTTGAACTTATTTGCAGTTTTTATAAAGACCATAAAAGGGCATAATTTAAAAAAAAAGAGCATAATTTTAGCATAATTTCGTCAAAGAAAGCAATGCTACTAGCACAATATGCTACTTTTCCTAGGATAATCTATAAAGGCCTACTAGCGCATGCGCTTTGAACTTTAGAAATATGAAGACAAATTGTCAGCATTTGTTAGGCTATCATGTTGGCGTGTGCAAGTTTGTCAGTTTTGAACGAGATGGATATTTTTTGGATATTATTTTCGTTAAGAGTTTTAGTGTTAAGCACGTTTCCGTTTGGTGGTGTTTTTTTCCCTGTTTTCCACGAGGTTTTCTGTAACGTTTTACTAACAATAACCTAAACCAAACAAAAAACTTACAAAGTACAAACCCTTTAATTCACAATCTAGCAAAAAAATCTGTACCCCAAGTAAATGCATCGAAAGCATTTGAGGGATTGGATGATGTTGACATGGAGAACTACAACACAACTGGGGACTCTTTGGCAAACTCTCAAGTACCGTCAATTGAAGACAATGATGAGACAAAGAACCGAGGCTCTTCATGTCAGCAGGAAGTTATGAAGGACGAGAGTGCAGCACTTCTTTCTAATGAGATCAACGCAGTTGTACCTCAGGGATCGGCTGATGTTGATAGGGAGAACTACTACACAACTGAGGACTCTTTGACTAACTCCCAAGTACCATCAATCGAAGACGATGATGAGACAACCAACAAAGTCTCTTCATGTCAGCAGGAAGTTATGAAGGACGAGAGCACAGCACTTCCTTCCAATGAGATCAACGCAGGTGTGCCTGATGAGGATTCAAACTCTTTTCATTTGGGGAATGTATCCACGGCGGCAAAGAATCGGGTGCACAGTTTCGTTCTCGATCA